CTATGTACCAACAAAAATCCGGTATCACAATAGGCTCGAAAGTAGCCCCGGTATTAAGCACAATTTATTTAGCAAAAATGGACAAGGCAATAGATTTAAACCTTAAAGGGCTTGCACTAAAAGTGTTTCGGTTTGTAGATGACTTTTTGGTTTTTATTGAATCGGATGGTCGGTATAAAATGGTCGCAGAAGTTTTGAGATCTTCAAGAAAAATAGTAGAGGGCTTGAATTTACTCATGAATTACCAGTCAATGACAAACTGCAGTTTTTGGATATTGAGATAGATGCCACAGCAGAACATGTATGCTGGTCACACAATCCGCGAACGGAAAAACCCTTACTTAGCTACCGATCGGCACATTCTAAAGTTGTAAAGAGTGGCATAGCCTTTTCATGTTTGAGAGCAGCCTTAACAAAGTCAAGTCCGGAAAAGATTAGGGAAAGCTTCAACCAACAAATTATCAGGCTAAAGAATGCTGAGTACGAAAAACACGTGTTGTGTAGATCAGCTAACAAGCTGATTAGTCACGTACGCAACAACTTTTATAAAGAAATGACAAGTAATGAAAACAGGAGGAAGATAGTGTCAGTTCCATATGTGCACAAGATTGCCCATAACTTAAAAAACGTAGGTAATCGCTATGGCCTAGAATTAGTTTTTTCGGCACCCAACAAGCTTAGTAAAATATGTTCCAAACTAGACCGTAAAGTTTTCATAGCAGTAAACACTAATGCTGGTAGTTGTACGGTAAATCACACAACAAAGTTTGTTAAGTGTATCCTATCAGTCGTGTATTGCTTGCCGCTCACGCGTGGAAAGGTATACATCGGCCAGACGGGTCGTTGTTTGAACACCCGACTTTTAGAACACAAGCGATCATTAGGAACTGACATTCATTCTCACATAAAGAGACACTGTTCCCAGTGTGGCTGCTCACCACTGTACAGTAACACAACCGTAGTCTTCCGTCATGGAAACCAACTAACTAGAGAAATTGTCGAATCCTTTCACATTAAAAAAAGAAAAGAAGGATGCATTAGTCAGTCATCGGTTTCGTTAAGTAACCGAGAAGCCAGCTACCTCGAAGGACTAAATTGAGATCAGTGTTTGCATGTGTCATACTCTCCTTTTTATCGTTTCAAAATTTTGTTTCAAACACGTGTGAATTCTCGCAAATTTTTTGGGTTTTTTTGATTTGATGTTACCCAGGGCTGTTTTAGATATGTCATCTAAAAGTGTCTAAGCTTAACTGCCGTGTACTATCGCTTGAGTCTGCGCAAAAGCTTCTGTTGGCAATGATTCAGTGTTCGTAGTTCTTTTCTGTGTCGCTAGGGTTATGGGTTATATATGAAGTGCTGCTTCTGAAATAAAAATTAGTTGCGAGTGTAGCGAGTGTCGTGTTTTTTTGTCCTCTTCATCCCCGTGAATTTGCGCTACTACACCATATGGTTAAATGATGTCTCACCAACTAGCCCAGCTCTCAACCCTACTGAACGACTGAAAACATCGCTACCTTTCATTTAAGGTCGATGACCTTGTCCTGAAGCGCAACCACGCTCTCAGCGACGTGAGCAAGCGTTTCCCAGCTTCGCTCGCAGCTAAGTGACTGGGTCCGTACCAAGTGCAGAAAGCTTGGACTCCTCTCGTCTACTTGCGGAAAGACCTGCTTTCGGGAAAACTCAGCCGTGCCCACATCGCAGACCTGAAAGCCTTTGCGTCGAGGTCTGATGAGCTTGCGCCAGCGCCTAGTGGCTCTTCGCGCAAGCAACGGCGCACACCCGGCATGGCGGACCGCATTCAGACCACGCTCCGTTATAATCTGAGGAAGCGGTCACCTTAGTGGTTTCCCGCTGAACGGTGGGCTTATTTCCATAATTGGAGGCCCTCGTTTTGACTGTCTAATCTCAGTAATCTAACTTCTTTACAGCCAGTGCTTGCAGGGAAGTTGGCTTCGCCCAGTTTCTGCTGCTGATTTTTCATTTGAGAGTTCATGTTTACTTAATGTTGTTTTCGTGTTTTCTTTTTTCTCCTCGCTGGAGGAGAGGATCGTGAATTGGCGCTTTAGCGTGGAGAGAGGGACAAAGAATGCTATGCACCTTTCTTTGCGGGGCGCGTTTAGAGGGACCCGATCATCAGAAGTGTGTGTGTGTGCGTGCGACGGGCTTCTGTGGGTGGTGGCGACGACAACTTAGGAAGTCACCGACCTCTACACTACCTTGCACTATGGAGGTGTCCGGAGATCCGCGGTCGTTAGGCAGCCCGGCTGTACCTTGCCCCCAGTCGTAGCTGAGAAGCTCTGTTGGCCTTTCCATCACGGCTCCTGCACGAGGCCAGCTGTCGCAGACGCTGTGTACGACTCGACCAATGCCGGGACGCCTCGCAACCAGTTGATTTGACGACCATGATTCCAGCAGAAGGGCCGGCTGTCGCAGCGAGGTCCATCCGGACCTCCACCGAGGCGGCATTCGTCGAAATCGCGGGCCTGTCGTCAACATTGACGAGATGAAGGTGAGCCCGTTCCTCGCATAAGGGCCTCCAACAATACTTTCGCCTTGCACTCTCACATTGACCCGGTCATCCAACCCAAACATTACATGACGCTTCCCCTCCGAGCCGTGGAAGTGCTCTTGCGTGAGCATCAAACTCACGTTGCCCCTCTTTCACGGCGTCATTGTATTTCTCAAGTGTATTATTTTTGTTCCATTTTTTTTTTCCTTCAGCAACAGTTATAGGACCAGGCTGAGGCTAGCTGTTGCCCATTGCATGACGTCTTTGCATGCATGGGCGACGATCGGCTGCCTTTGCAGAATAGTATATAGGGTGAATTAAGGAGAGGAGGATGTGGGAATCTGAGGCACGCCCGCGACCATTTCGCGGGCATTTTTTCGTACGGTTGCTCCCTTTTCCTGCTCTAGTAACGGCGCATGGGGATAGATGGGGCCAGGCGCGGGCACGGCACGACTTACGTGCGCACCGAAGAGAGCTCTCTTCCGTTGGTCGGCGCCAGGTGAGCACGTGTTTCTTTCGTCTGCATCCCCTTTGGGAATGGCCAAACTGTAGCCTGCCTGGGGTTCTGGCATCCCCGCAGATGTGTTTACTTGAGTGCTAGCTTCGGTACCGTATGCTAAGCCAACAGCGGTGTCTAGTGCTTGAAGTGGTCGTACCCCACCAAGCCGCACTTGCCGTAGGCCTACGCGTACAAGGTTAGCTCTAGCTCTCGCGACTAGACCCAGTGGTCATCGCGACAGTGCACAGCATAGCCGCAAAGGACCTTTTCCCGATTGGCATATCAAAGCTCGCTATTGCCAGCTGCGACGTGCTCCTGGTTTCCCCTTACCGTGAATGTCCGCGTGCGGGAGTTTTTGCTCTCTACGTCCCGGGAGCAGATGTTGCACTGTTGCTTGGGGTGCCGCCAAGGGCAATAAAGTGTTAGTGTATTTCTGTTATTCGAACACTGTCTGTTTTGCTGCTAAACCCCTTGTTTGTCAAGCCCGCGCAGAGCGGTGCGCTACACGCGAGTAGGTGATGGACTCGCAGCCCTGTGGCTAGCTAAGCGTGAAGCCGTGGTGATCATCAGCTACGGTGAGTAGCCAGGTCACCACAACTCGTACACTTTTCTGATTGATTTTTTTTCTTTTTTTGTGATAAGATTCTCCAGGTCTTCTAATATAGACAGATGCCTGTGATGTGAATAATTTCACTATAAATCAAATGCTCAAAGAACTTTGCTATTTCGTCTAGCGTCACATCTTTCCATGAGCCAGCTCATTAGATCCACATAGGTTGGCATTTGCATCCATATGCATTCATGTGAATATGTATCCAAGCATATATCTCAGCATTTTGCACATCGTATCAAAAAAAGAACGTCACGTGCAGTACTAAAACGTTTCGCACTGCTCCTTATAGTCAGGGCCAAGATGTGCTCCGGTACGTGGCCTTGTTTTCGTTAGGAGAAGCTCTACACCGGCGCCAGCACACCGCTCCCTAGCAGAATGTGGATCTCATAAGTAACTGAAGTAGCTATGAGATTGCACAAAAAGGTCAGCAGCTACGCGCTAGCGGAGGAGGAGACAACTTGAGACCGTAGACGAAAAAAAACCCATGAATGTCTCGATTTGCGCAAAACATCGTCGTCATAAAACTTGAAGCTGATGTGCTGTCATCCTTGAACTTTAACCTTGCCCTGAGTCAATTCAGGTGCGGTTGCAAGACAGTATCGAGCAGCGCATGTGTTTTTCAGCACTAGTTCACACCCATGCGCACCTGATAACGATGCCATAGGAGCAATTAGTGACACTAGAAGCGACCGTATGCCTGATATAACAATACAAGCAAAAACCGAAGTTGCTGGAAAAAGGCTGAGAAGGCCGCCTCGACACTTTCAACAAGCAGCAGACCTTTGGAAATATTTTTTGTAGAATAAATTTTCCCTGCCTCATAGAAATCTTTCTGTATTAAATAACTGGCATAAATTTCTGGCAATTACTACTGCTCAACACTGTGAAATTGTGAAGCTGGCACTTTCATTTTATATTTGACTTGCAAAGATTCCTTTCATTACATACCTTCGACGTTATGGTAGGATAATCACAAGGGGCACGCACTTTTGTCAAGTTGACTAGCCTAATGCACAATTCCAACAACACATGCACATTGGTTCGCACAAAGATCTGCCAAAAACGACTATTTTGCCAAAACAGGTAAGTTAAAATTTATTCTGAAAGTTGAGTGGATGGACTAACTACCTTAAAGTGTTGAGTGCACATGAAATAAATTTACCATGCGAAAATCGGCGATCCAAAATGTTGATCACTGGTAATCGATTCGAATAGGCATGGTAAAAAAATATTGATAATATGTTGTGTTTAACGTCCCAAACCACCATATGATTATGAGAGACACCAGTGGTTAGGTAAAAGTTAAACTCCCTGTCGTTTAAGCATATCATACCTTGCATGTAATACCTCGACTAAAGTTCTAGCCATCCCGCACTCACCTGCGTATGCGATTGCGCACAATGGCCAAATGCTTGGCAACATAGTTCTCGCCAGGTGCCAGCTTCAGTGCTCGCAGGAGGCAGGCTTCAGCCTGGAACAGGGCACCCCTTTCCACTTGTACCACGCATAGGTTGTGCAGTGCCTGAACATGGTCAGGCTGCAGGGACAGGATGCGTTCGTAGCACTAAACAAAAGAAACGATTCATGTGAAGTTGTAACTTACAAGCAAAACTTTCTCAGTTGCCTGGAAAATGTCTGAAAGAAAGCTTTCCATAACCTCTTACACTTGTATCATGACTTAAAAATCAACAAGACACTCACAATTGCCTTTATTTTTGCTTGTGCCAGTCTACAATATGTAACTCAAACACGCACTTGGGAAAGAGAAAAAAAAAACACTCAATAAAGCAACAACAGACACTACGTTTTTAATTACAGGGTGCTGCACAGCCAGCTTTGTCAAGGCAATAGCCCTGCTTGCACTCCCTTACCGTCTCATGTCACACATGTCAACAAAGCATCTTTAAGTAGAGCTCGATAAAGCACTCTTTCGGGCTAGTTGGTACAAGTTTGATATATGTTCCGGAGTATTGCGCTGCCTGTCTGTGACAGGAGGGACACTTACGAAGACACAGAAAAAAGCACAACCAAAATGTACAAACTATCAACTATAAATCCTTTGTGAGGCGCTACTTAGAGCTCCCAAAGGAGAAGAAAAGAGAACAAGGGGTGAAAGTGTAAACATTCAAATGCGAAAAACAGACTAGACAGGTGAAACGGCAATCAAACATCTTGGAGCCTGTCGATACTGCACAGCACTCTTCCGCTCACCTGTCTTTGCAAGGGCTGGAACATGTTGCTTAAAAATTGAATATTTACTTTGCTTAGCAACAAAGATGGAGTGCTTAGAGATGCGTTGCCTTCTCCAGATTCTCAGTGATGTGATTGACTTGGAACTGTTTTGGAGCAGATTTTTAGAGCAGCAAAAAGTGCATTTTCGAGCAGAAAAAAATTATTTTGGAGCAGGAAAAACGACTTGTGGAGCCGCTTAAGGCTCACTGCCAAGTGGGACACTGTGTGAAGCACAGCAGCGAACTGAGGAGGAATGTTTCTGAATTGAGAAGTTCTGTGCAATAACGGATGTTTGAAGATGTTTATATAACATCATAGAATATTAACCCAAACTAATTTTAAACCTTCCAGTGCATTTTTTAATATGGTATGCAAGCAACTATGAATTGGCGCAGCATTCTGGCTGCCGAAATAATGTAAAAGAGCAGTTATTATTGAAGAACAAATAAATCACTATGGATTTTTTTTATTGAAGACTAGCAACACTGTTTTATTTTTTTTAATTGCAAAAGAGTTCTTGTTTAATTGGTTGTTTTGTTGCCTGACATCTTGCTAAGGACTGCAGAGAGTCGTGTTTTACTTTCACCAAGCAAGGACTGGCACTACTGATGAGCTCGAGTCTCGATCCAGTACGTACGATCACGACAATCGCCCGAAAAACTTCAGTTTTTAGGGGTCGTATAAATGCTAATCTACGAGGCTTTCATTGTGTCAGAACATTCATAGACGCTCACGGCACGTCTAAATCACATCATGAAAAGTTATTGACAGCACTTCATATGATCGTGAAGTGCGCGGCCGCGTGAACAGCATAGCCAGCACGTGATACACTTGGCAGCCGCGTTCGGTGACGATGTGCGAAATGTGTAGTTACGATGAAAAAGAAATCAGTGTGCACTGCGCTTGGTATCGAATTTTCGAGTGCCGACGCGTGAAACTGCTAGCTGCTGTTTCGAGCTATCTTGGCAGTGGAGGGTGGGGTTGAGCGTGACTGTAGGGTTTGCTGCCAATGCATAAAATGCCTGTACGCGGTTCTGAAGAGCTAGTGAGTGATGTGCTTCATTGTCTATGAAGGAGCATGTTTCTACGAGTGCGCTAATACGTTGTTCTTGCCTGCAAAGTTCGTCTTGCTGTGAGCGGAGTTAGGCCTAAAGTCGACTATGATGACCCGCCGCGCTCCCAGTAATCTGATTGAGAATCCGCTTACAGTTCTCAACTAAAGCATAATTATATCCCAAAAGATTGTCGAGCTGTGAACTCTTCACGAAGTAGCGATTTTTTACAGCAATGTCCTCGCGACGTACAAGCAGCAGACGACAATGTCCCGGAGCGAGCATCGCGCCAATGGCGAGGCGAGCTGGGGCAACACGGCGGCCACAGCCAATGAGGCTTTTGCTCCTTCTTCCCTGTCCTGTGGTTCAAGTGTTGCACTGGTAACAAGTTAACGATGCAGGAGCCTCCAACTTCCTTAAAACGTTTGCTTTTCGTGCGCTTGTTCTTAAAAGGAGGAGCCAGATGAAGCGGAAAATTTGAACATGGAAAAATATTCTGTATGATGAGCCAAAAAAGCCGACTCCTGGTCACGCCATCGCCAAGCTATAATTTTGTGAAACTATTTTTTCCCGACTTCCAGAAATATTTTTGCTACCTAGGAGGGTAAAACAAATTTTCCGAAGCACTTCTGCCCGGTTTAGAGGATAGATATTTTGGAATCAGATAGAAAAAGGGTTTCAGAAACTGAAAACTTGATATTGAAACATTCGATCTTTTTGCCATTCTTAGCAATAGGAAACTGCGTCTCACCTTAATATTTGTGCTAAGTCTGAGTTGACCTTTGATAATGAGATACAAAAAAGTTTGAAACCAGTACGCTAGTTATCTGCCTTTCTAGCTTTCAGCTGTTTCGCACTGCTGTTCACCTGCCAAACACAATTAGCTCAGAACCTCGGACACCGAATCGCGGCGAGCTATACCGTCCAAGGTGCATTTTCTAGAGGGGATGGAGGGGGGCACAATTGTTTGCACTTTCCTAAAAACCAGTGTCCGACTGTATCCCCCCACGCCCCCTGCCGGACACCGATTTTCCTCCCACGAGGCAACATAAGAAGGTCACAGGTCACCCCCAATTGCGTGTTGTCGCAGGCGATGCACTGTGCCCATTTTTTAAAGACGGTAGTCTTTCTTGGTGACCTTCGATGTAAAAAGTTTGGTCTGTCTGTCCGTGTGTACATTTGTATGTTTGCTCACTCTTAACGGCACCAGGTACTTGAAACGGCCGACCCCATCCACAGCGCCCACAAATGTTGCTCAAGATTTAGCGTTCATAATTGTGCAATTGTCATTTAAAAAGCAACTACTGCACATGTCTGGGGCACTATAACAACACATACATTTTGCATGTGCGTCTTTTACTAGAAAAGACATACATAAGTAATTTTAAGGACCGTAGCACTTATCACGCTGCGCTGACCATGCAACGCTTGCAAGAAAAGGCGAGTGTTGCCAACGCTTTGCTAAGACAAGACGGTGGTGGCACCTACCCGTCGCCTTGTGTTCTACACCTTATCACCTCTGAGATGGGCGTGCACACCCGTCTCAGAGCCATGCGCTTCGTTTAAAAAAAAAACTGCCAGATGGCGCTCATGTCTCACGTGTGACGTGACTTGATGCGCTCGTTCGCTTCCGCTGCACGCTCGAGGCACTCTAACGCCGCTACTCCAGAGTACCATTCACCGATTTTCTTGCGCAGAACCATCAAATAAATGTTTTGTTCACTCTCTCCACATGCAAGACTATCGTCTTTCGACGACAGTTGCAGATTAACATGCAGATACGGGGCCAATTTTTTATAGTATATTGTAATTAGACGCAGTTTTGGCGCAGAAAAGAGAAAATGTAGCTGGATCTAGCTGGTTTCCTGTCTTGGTGCAGTTTGGCACAATTGGCGTAGCTATTGCATCACTAGATTCTATATTGTAGGCCTCAACTATTTTCCTCTTGTACCATTTTATTGAGCAAAACAAGACCTTGGTCTGATCAAACAAGGCCCTTCATCCACTTTATTTTACAGCGTGAGAGCAAGTTCCCCGGCATGCTTAACTGCTCGCATGCATGGCAGTGCTCTCACAGTCCCGTTTTCAAGAATATGCATGTATATCCCATGGAACTGTTCTTGTATGTCAGGGTAATGGGGTAGACCATGCGAACAGTGCGTTCAACAAATTTAGTTTGGTGTCCAACTTCTCTATCAGCTATTTAGAGTTTCCTCCTTGTTTATGTATTCTCTTGCAAATGGCGCCTCACAAAATATTTACAGTTGAGTTAGAACCCACCTGTTCTGACTGTGTTTAGTTCTGTGCCTTTGTAAGGGGCCCGTTGTTACATATATGCAGAGCTATGTTCAGCGACCTGTATTAGGAAGAGCATTTCATACAACTTCTTCCTTTGTTTACCCTGTCATGCAAATAAGCGATTCTACCTTTTTGTAAACAACAAGCTTTCCTTTCTTCACTGTGTTGCCTTTATTTCAATGCTTACGTGCATGTGCTACGCACTCTTGAAAATGTGCATTAACCAACTTGCCCAAATCACCATTTGCGGCGACTCAGAAAGCGCATTTTGCGAGGTTCCGTCTAGGTACTAACTGTGCTGGACTAGAAAAAAAATTTAAAAACGTCCTATATTTTGTCGGCAATTTTTTGGAAGCAGAGAAATCTACAATAACACAGACTTATGCACTTTGTGCACGAATCAAGAAGCAATGCTTGCTTGGTATACTGTATTCCTGGAAAAATGGTACAAGAAACTAAGCAAGCTACCACCACACTGTTCTGAGCAGTAGCAACATCAGTACACGATAGACGTGCGGTGGCACAGAGGCAACGGTAAGTTTGAGGTATATTGCTACGAAGCATAAAAAAACAAAATTTTGATGACAAAATTCAAGAATAAGATTATTGCACAAGTGCGATTGTTATGCGAGAAAATGTGGCAATAATATAAATATTACTTTTTGGAAGTTGTCATATTTTGAAGGAAACACAGTGCAGATTACTTATAATGTAATCGCTTATAGTGCAGGACCGGTTAACATGCGGTCTTTTTCAACTGTCGTTTACCATCTCATGGAAATCTGTGTATACGTATACAGCTCATTATGCAGTCCCCCAAGATGAAAGACCGGTTATAATGTGGTAGGCGGAAAGTCTTTGTAATGTAGCGAGTGCGCTTCTGAAAGGAGGTGCGCTGCTGGGGAGCGAGGGACAAGGTTGTAACAGAGGAAGAGAAGCAGAGTGAACGAACAAAACAAAAGAAAAAATGACCACAGCACTC